GTAAGCGTTTTAGCTGTTCCTAAACTGATGAAACTGCAGATGGTGTCTATTTAGCACAGTTTATGTGGGGTCACTTCACTGGCAACTATCAAACTTTCCAGGTAGAAAAACAGTGAACTTGATATTAGTATTATTTTGTCAAGTTGGTGGTTTGTTTGATTACAACACTGCAGCCTTACGTGCTGATCAGTTGCTAAATTTTTTTATACACCAGAATTATAGACTGTTAGTTCATTCGTCCTTGTCACAGCACTTATGAAAACTGAAGAATTCATTAGCACTGAAACTGTGGTGTCATCACATTTTTTAATATTAACTTTGGCTGTTGCAATTCTCTATTTAACTATTTGCAATACTTGTAAGCTCATGGCTTTTGACTAACCTCAAATCCATCTTGCCATTATCCTGAGCTTTTATACCTGTGCCTTTTGAATAGTCATAGACTTTGCTCTTTCTGGAGGAGTTTCAAAGTTTCAACCCTTCAGATTTACCTCCCCCTTTTTAAAATGGGCAATTTTTTTTTTTTTTTTTTTTGGTTTAGTGAACCCCAGTTCTAATTTTTCCTGTAAGAGGAAATGCCCCCTCCATATCTACTCAGTCAGGATATAGTTTCTCAACTCAGTTGCATCTGGTCAACTTCTGTGAATTAAGCCAAGCATGTCCAACCTTCCTCATTCCTTCTTCCTTGTATAACCTGTCACTTCCAGGTATTAGTCTATTGAGCTTCTCTGAACTGTTCCCAATATATTTGCAACCTTATATAAATGTGCACATATTCTAGGTGTGGTATTAGCAGTGCCCTGTATAATTGAAGCTAACCTCTAATTTGGTATTCAACTCCCCTTGCGATAAATTGTGGCATTGTTAGCTTTCCTAATAATTGCTTGCTGTACCTGCAGACCAAATTCTATTCCTGCACAATTAGTTGAATCTGCACCTCAGTTCTGCAAATTCGTTTTGAGTAATGTGCTTTTTTCCTCCTGCCAAAATGGGCAATTTCATTTTTACCATATTGCTGTAAAGATCCCAAAGCTTGCTTTTTCTGCTGCCTGTTTTGCCTAATTTGAGTTTTGAGTGGTGGGGAGGGTTCATGAGTGGCTGGGGAAGGCCTGCTTGGCTTTGCTGCAGTTGAGGCACTTAGATACAGGAGAGCCCCACTAGGTTCTCCTCCAATCCAACGACCATTCTAATTTATAACTTTGCTGTTGCTAGGTCAAAAAGCTTGAATCCCTAAAAGCTTTGTCATAAGAACTGCAGTGGTTTTAAAAAAGGAGATCGCCATCTTCCCCAGGACAATTAGAAGGGCAGTAAATACTGGCCCAGCTAGAGATGCCTAGATCAACAAACACTTTCTAGTTCAGATCTAGGTTGTCAGGATGGTAGGAACATTGAAGCTGTAATGCCTGCTCATTCCTAGTTATTGCTTTTGTTTGAAACATCTTTGTACAACTTTCATTTTTGACAGAATGACGCTGATGTGCCTTCTGGCATGGCCAATCTGCTGACTGCTCCACTCATGGCTAGAAAGGACATCTCACCGGAAACTCTGAATGATGTAAGTTTATGGTTGCTTAGTTACAGTGACACTTGGCAGATTTGGAATAGTTTGGGGAGGGGTAAAAGAATTGTAATTTCAATTTGAAGGTGACATTCTCTTGCTTTTAGGAAACTCCTAATAAACTGTCCTGTGCTGATCACTTCAAATCTCCGACTCTGGGCCCTGAAATGAGGTCCATCCTCAAGCGGGTGGATCGACCCAAAGATGAAGAGACCCCGGTGAAGAATAAACGGAGGAGAAGTCTTGCTGGCATAACAGAAGAAACGAGTGCTGACAATGTGGTAAGCTTCTGTAGGTTTTGTTTCTGGCAGGAACATTAAGTAGCTTGAGAATCTCTTAATTTTTGAAAATGTTTGAGATTCTGGTTACAACTGCCCTAACAAGGTATGCATCTCCTTGGCAATAAACAGTCTGGAACGTGCTGGTGCTATAGGCAAAAAGTGAGTGGTACAGGATGGATTGAAACAGCAGTTCTGAATATGGCTGAGTTTTGCAGTTCCAAGTGTTGTAGAGCCATTTAGTGTAAAATAGTGAGCTCCTAGCATTAAGCAGTCAATATTGTTTTGTCCATGCCGGGCCTTTAAACTAGGCTGTCTGTATTACCAGTACTTAATGGAACCCAATTCAGAAGTCCTTGTCGTTGTTTCAAGTACTAACATTCTGATTGTGAACTTAATTTCCTCTTCATCAATCATTCTGCCAGGTGTTGTTGTTTTTTCCTAGTCTTTTCTACCCTTATTTACCCCTCTAACTGATTCAGCTTGTCACTTTTTTTTTGATTTTGGTGCCCTGTTTGGTCATGAATGGTCATTCATAAGTGAATATCATTAGCTGGATGAGTCTGGCAGAATGTCCTGTTCTTTGGATCTGAGACTAGTTTGAGTAATTGGACAGTCAGATTTATATTTACTTCAGTAATCACTTAAAGCTAGACAGACTATGATAATACCTAAAAGTCAGCTGACTTTCTTCTCTACCTGTTTAGAAGCAGCATTCTCTATTGAGGTCCAAATCTTTCTGTGGTGCAGAAATTGAGAAAGTACTCCAAATTGATGATTGCAGACACATGATTGGAGATTTCACAAAGGTATGGCATTTCTACATATTCCCCTCCTAAATATATAAGCCTTCTTTCATGGATAGTCATAGAGTTAGTGTTGTATAGCACAAACAGACCCTTTGGTCCAACTCTTCCATGCTGACTGTTTTTTGTCTTGTAAAGCCTACTGAGTATTGATGGCATTGTTGCATTAAGGTGGCAAAAGTTGAATTGGATCAACATATCCAGATTTTGATGTTAATAGATTTTGGTGCATTTATCTGTAGCTTAGCAAATAATTGTACAACAAAAGAACATTGTTTGGCTAGGAGAGAGCATGAATGTGTGCCTCATCCAACAGACACTAGGAGCCATGTATTGGGCGCCATTTAACAGGTGGAATCTAATCTGTACTGATCCTGTATCAGTGACTTGGAGTAACAGCCATAAGGAGATTCCCTGAGAATCTGACATCTTACCCTGTTGAATTACATAAAACAGGCTTGTTTGGTCTATGGTATTTATTCTTGATGCTGGCAGTCGTAATACCATATGCCTTGTTCTGAATATCCCTTTTCACTTCTGACCCAAAAAAGTTAAAGCCCTCTGACTCAGTCACTAACTTTTTTTTTCTTTTATGGAATATGGATGTTCCGTATGCTGTCCAATCACTCTCCCTCAAGTTACAAAACTTCAGCATTTCAGGGCAATTAAGAGTTACCCACACTGGGTCTGGTGTCAAATGTAGGCCTCAAGGAATTTTGTGAATCAGTGGTATTTTCAGTTTCACCACTGTTGGGACTAGCTTTCACTTCTATGTTAAATTTAAATAATCAGCTTCCGTTATTGAATTACATTAATCTAGATCTGGAAAGTTACTAGTCAGTGGCATTTCCACTGTGCCACCATCTCCCTGTGCTATTGGTGATTTCAAAGCATTTAAAATGTAATCTTCAAGTGTTAAATCTGCCAGATCTTGCCTTTTCCCCTCCCTCATCACATGAGGGCACCGCTGGCTAGGCAGCATTTATTGCCCATCCCTACTGGCCCAGAGGGCAGTTCAGTCAACCACATTGCTGTGGGTCTGGAGTCACGTGTAGGCTAGATGGCAGTTTCCTTGCCTAAAGGAATGAATGAACCAGATGGGTTTTTCCTAACAATTGATAATGGATTCATGGTCCTCATTTAGATTCTTAATTACAAATATTTATTCAAATTAAAATTATACCACTTGCCATGACAGGATTTGGACCTGGGTCCCTGGAATGTTATCTCAGTTTCTGGATTAACTGTCTAGTGATAATACCACTAGGCCATTGCCTCCCCAATCTAATGGTCATTGGACAGGGTAAAGTTTTGATTCCTAATTTGAACCTTTTTTAACTTAATGTGGAATTAGGGCATAAAGTCTAATGTTTTTTCTTTAAATTTGCCATCCTAGCTGTTTAGGTCTCATTAGATTGTGAAGAAAGCTAATTTGAGACACTCGCCAATAAGGTGCTCTTGTTGGAGGCCTGAAAAAAATGCATTTTTTTAATCTTTCTTCATGGCAGAGCTTGTTTGATGTTTGTAATAGGTGATGTAGCTGATTCTGCCAGTGACACCATATCCCATTTTAAAAGTATCATGGCCATTTGGTAGATTTCCAAGCATTTTAACTTTAACTTGCACCCAGATTTTTGCAGACTGTGGGGCACAACAATTGAGTGAAGTTTTTCCTAACTCTTTGTTCATGACAAAAAAAAACCTGTCAAGTCTGGGTGCAGAGTCATTGATCTGAATAGATATTGGATCAAACTTTTTTTAATGCCATAAGTAATACACAATCCTTCAGGCGTCAATAATTTTGGTTGCATTGCAAAGGTGTTGTACTCTAGTCTGGTGCAGAGGTATTTAGAAATACAGGTTAGCTGTTTATCTTGAACCTTTCAAGAAGACTTTTTAGAGCAACTTTTTTTTTTTAAATTAATCATGCAATAATCTTTCCTTTAAATGGAATCGTTTGCATGAGTCACATCACTAAATATGGCTAGTAACTTTTGAAGTTAAAATCCAGGTTAAAAACAAACCACTTCCTGTTCCAAAACAGAAAAAAAACAGTGCTAATCTGGACTGACATTTCATGTTAAATGTCACTGGTTGCAGTAAAGGTACTTGACATTTATAGCATTCAGCAGTGTGAGCAAGATTAGAAAATTACCTCTCTGCTTTCAATAAGCCAATGCCCAAAATAGACTTCTGGTTTTCAGCTTGCTGTCATCTGATCCCTGGACCTAGATTATGGCATAGTACGGGTGGTTTTTTTTTTGAATTTGAATGCTGCTTTCATGTAGCCTCTGATTTTGAGTGAGTTTAAATTATCAATAACTAGTTTCTTGTTGTTCCTTCTGACTTTGACTCCCTCACAGGGAGACAGTCCTGCATATAACCAATTCATGTGGGTCTATAATGTCAGGTGGGGGCATTTAGCTGCAGGGCCCACTATGCCTGTCTTCAGTGCAGTTCCTTGTGGATGATTGGGTAGTGAATTAGCACTTTTTTCTCTTCACCTCTGGTTGTGACTGCAACTATTTGCCAGTTATTTAAAGTGATGAAAAGCAATATCTCACCTGAGGTGACCTGCACTACTTTGATTTGGACAAGGCTATTCTGGATAGGTAAAGTCTTCCACAAATGCTCCACATGAACTTATTGCCATTGGTGAGGGTTCATCTTGGCTGATGCCTTATGTGCAGGCTGGCATCTGTTTCAGAGCTTCCAAAACCACATGTCCACCCATGGTTAAGATCTGCTAACCGTCTGGATTACTTTTGGTTAGTCACTGCACTTGGCAAGGGGGCCTAATTCTAGGGAATCTGGAATCTACCAAATGGCCATTTTACTTTAAAAGGGATATGGTGTCACTGGCAGAATCAGCATACATCATCTATTACGAACATCAAACAAGCTCTGCCAAGAAGAGAGATTAGGCAAGGGGGGCCTAATCCTGAGGGCAGAAGGAAGCTGCGTCTAAATTTTGCTGTACAGAATCAAGAGAGAGTATTGGTACAAGATTGCTCATTCTCATGTTTTCCACATAAATAGCATTTTCCAGTTCTACTGTAGACTAGATCCAAGTTTGTGCAACCCCAGATTCCCAGCATACGTGGTCCTCTGGTGTGTTTTGAGTTTTAAGGATTGGAAGGAGTTTTCTAGTACTAGAGATCATAGAACCCTACTGTGTGGAAGTTGGCTGTTTAGCCCAACAAGTCCACAGTCGACCCTCCCACCCAGACTTGACCCCTACCCTATCTCCCTAATACCACATTTTCTACACTCCCCTGGATACTCTATGGGCAATTTAGCATGGTCAATCCACCTAAGCTGCACATCTTTGGACTGTGGGAGGAAACTGGAGCACCCAGAAGAAACCCATGCAGACACCAGGAGAATGTGTAAATTCAACACAGTTGTCTGAGGCTGGAACCAAATCTGGTGCTGAGGCAGCAGTGCTGCCGACTAGTAGAGACATGGCTCAATTTATTGAGTATTCAGAGCTATGTAACTTTCAATCCATTTTTTTTGTTTTCTCTTTACAGCCATATATATTGCCTACTGTGGAGGGAAGACACCAAGAGTTACAATATATAACTGCAGAGATGGTAAGTAGTTACAAATGCCTAGCATTGAGATGAAAGCTGTCCAGCATATGGCTTGACTAATGATAAAGTTAAATTAGGTTTATGCACTATACATTAACTAATGTTAATATCACTGTGCTACCATTTTTATTCCAATAATGCATCTGTTTTCTACTGGTATATAACACAAGAGCTCTGCTCCTTCCAAATGTAATCCTGTTTTGAATATAGATAAATAGTAGGCACTTCAGCTCAAGTAGACATGGGAAACATGTCAGCATACCATTTGAGTGGGATTCTAGTGAAGTAAGCAAAATTTCTACTCCACCTATTGTTTAAGCTTCACAGACTTTCACTTGAAGGTCTATTTCCTTTTGAAGTGTTCTTTTGAGAGAATTTCTTTGCTTCATGCCAGTGGACCAATTGTCTAGTTAGCTGAGAGTCTAGGGGAAGCTTCATTCTGGCATTGAAGTTATCTCCCTCCTCTTGATTTGTTTTTGGGGACACAAACTGAAAGCTGAAGGTTGATTTTTGGTTTTCAGTTAAAAGTGCAGTAGCACAGTGGCTGTTTCTTTCCCTTTTTTTAGGCTGGCAGACTGGGTTAAAGTTCTACCTGCACCAAAAGTGTATTCTAACATCTTAGCAGGTTGAATGAAAATATCCAGAATGCAGTGCTCAAAAGTCATTTTTTTTAATGACTAGTCAATGATGCTTGCTTTCCCTAATGTCTTGCAGGTAGTTCAGTTGGTGAACGGGAAATTTGATGAATTTGTCGAGAGATTCCTGCTTTTTGATTGCCGATATCCATATGAGTATGAAGGGGGACACATTAAAGTAAGTGTGTAATGCCAGAATACTGCATGCTAATGCCTTTCACATCCTGTTATTTTGGACATAACACTCAGTGCTATTATCACATCTTTACCTGATCAGTTTATTTTAACCACGGACTCGAACAGTAGGACTTGTGCTGTACATCGTAACCTTCAGGTTAGTTTTGCAGGGGACAGTAGGCATCTGTTATTCCTGTTAATGACTTTATCACGACATCCCATCTGAGTCATTGCAATCCTCACTGCCTTTCACAGGACATGTGAAACCAAACTTTTTTCTCCCTACCTGTGCTGTTCTCTGTCTAAACAAATAATTAAATGTGACTTCCCAGCAGTCTATTTGTATCCCTGCTGACTTGAATTGAACCGGTGATCTACACTTTGCTAGTGGATAATGTCTTTGTATACTAATCTATTGGGGAATTGGAGGTGCTGTTAATTATAAAACTGAAGTTTCTTCATTTGTTCCTTGAAACGATTGCCACATTGCGTGCCTCTTAGGCTATCAATTTTGCTCACTTATTGAGGGCTCAGTTCTTAAACAATCTTTTTCCTGTGAAGGGGAAGGAATGAGGATTTTGGTTATGTTGTCTTAATATAAAGCTATATATCTAGCACAACACTTCAGAAATCCAAACATTGATTGTCAATTTGCTTTAAGGGTGCCCTTAATTTGCACATGGAGGACGAGGTGGAGAGTTTTCTGCTAAAGAAACCCATTGTTCCAGTTGATGAAGCTAAGAGAGTGATTATAATTTTCCATTGTGAGTTCTCATCTGAGCGAGCCCCAAGAATGTAAGTTGCAGCTTTGTGCAATTGATAAATCTAGTGATGAATGTGACTTCCTGTTCTTGCTAGTAAGGGTCAAATAAGCTAGAACTCAGGATGTTAAAGGGTAATTGAAAATACAATTTGATGTCAAATCTAGCCAGCTATTTACATGTTGCAGTTTGGTTTTTACACTTATTGGTGTCTATTGATCCCTTGAATGTAAGGGAGCTAAAAACATTTCATTTTCCACAAAATATAGAAACCTAAACTTTATGATGGTCTTTTTGCCACTTGCTTTACGGCTGATTAGTAACTTTTCCAGATTCCTTGACGAAGAAAATGTGTGTATCTATATCCTTAAAATTTAGACCTGTTCTCAGCCTGTTGGAACTATTCTAGAATCTCACTACCCATGTAGCAAATGCTTCCTGACCATATTCCTAAAGTGGCTTGGATTAAACCCTTGTAGAGTTTCTCAGTATCTAAATCAAATTTCTTGACATTCTAAGTACCAACCAATTGATGATTTCAATGAACTAAGTGCTCTTATTTATCTAAGAGGTAGATGAATTTTAACTTGTTCTCTGAAGTAACTTTTTTGAGTCATTTGGATTCTTGACTTAATAAAATTAACTATGTATGAGGATCCTTCAGTGTTGGGTCAAAATCCTGGTGTTCTCTCTAATGGTATTGTTCTATCTAAGCATGTAGATTGTAGTGGTTCAAGAAAGCTCACCGTATACCTTAAGTGCTTCTAGGGATGCAGTGATTGCTGTAAAACAAAATGTGCTTGTACAGCTGAACCTTAAGTAGAATTCTTCATATTCATTAATGATCATATTGCTCGGTTATTCTGTAGTTAATTGAGGACTGAAATTGATTCTAAGTCCAGAATAGCATTTATATTCTCAAGGCATAAGCTTGTCAAATGCTCCGCACATTCTGTATAGAGGCAATTGGATTGGTCTTTACCTAAAGTGACTACAATGACTAGATCATCTCAGATGCTTGGGTCAGGGAAGCTGTTATCATTTAATGTGGAAACAAATTTAATAAAATAGTATATTGGGCAGCTGCTTACAAAAAGGTGAAATTGACCCCTGTAAACTACTTTTCTGTGCACAATACATTGAAGGCACAGGCTGTCTCCTGATGATTTTTCTATAACCCTTTTCAGGTGTCGTTTCCTACGTGAAAAGGATCGTGAGGTGAATGGCACAGATTACCCAAAACTGCATTACCCAGAACTATACATTCTGAAGGGTGGCTACAAGGAATTTTTCCCCAAATTTAAAGTAAGGATTTTCCTAATTTTTACTAGTGGTGCAAGCCCCTGACTTGACAACAGTAAATGACTGTAATGGTCCATGATTGTCTAGGACTGCAGGAAAGCTTGAGCTTTTTCCATGCTTCCAAATATTTGACATCTTGCAATTTTGCAAAGTTTAAAGAGATGGCTGTTGAGATTTTTCGCATTCTAAGAATCTACGGATCTTGAGTTGGAAATTGTGATCTATATGATCCTGTATCTTGAGGTGGCTGCTGTGTCTGTTACCTGTATCTTAGAAATGATTGGCACACATTTTCTCACCTATTGATCTCGGTGCTCGCAAGGTGCAGTTGACAATAATATATTGGTGCTACGGTGGCTCAGTGGTTAGCACTGCTGTCTTAACACCAGGGACCTGGGTTCAGTTCCACCCTCAGGTGTCTGTGTGGAGTTTGCACATATACCCATGTCTCCATGGGTTTGTGCCAGGTGCTCAAGCTTCCTCCCATAGTCCAAAGATGTGCAGGCTAGATGAGTTGGCCATGCTAAATTGCCCAGTGTTCAGGGATGTGTAAGGTTGGGTGTTAGTGATGGGAAAGGATAGCGGGGTGGTGGGTCATGGACTTGTTGGACCAAATGGCCTGTTTCCACACTGTAGGGACTCCGTTACCAGACAATTTATTTTGTCACTTGGTCTTCTATGAAATAATTCTTCAAAAAAACAAACTTTATGCTGGTTTTTGTGAACCTAACCATTGTCAATGCATTTTCCATTTTTATTTTTAGCTTTACTGTGAGCCACAGAGTTACCGCCCAATGAATCATGAAGATTTCAAAGAGGATCTCAGGAAATTTCGCTTTAAGAGCAGGACGTGGGCCGGTGAACGAAGCAAAAGGGATATGTACAGCCGACTGAAGAAGTTGTGAGGACCTTGGCCTTTTATGATGGGTAGAAGGCTTTTCTTTGAACTCCTGGGCTGGTTCCATGATGCTGTACAATAATGCCTCCGATCATTGGTTGCCAGTGAATACTGCAGTTAATTAGGATGCAGCAACTAGTTTTCAACAGCTTGGTGTTCCATTACCTGTTCTCAACAATGTTGAGCTAGTGAGATGTGGGCAGGGACCACAGATTCAACTTTTTTTAATCTTGTGCCTAGTTTGGAGTAGATGACTTCCTCAGCCATTTGAGTATGAAGACAGTGAATGGGAACTGCTGCGTAAACATGTACAAGGTTGATTTTTAACCTACTGTGTTTCTAGATGGCTGTTCTATGTGTGTACACCCTGTGACTTGCTAATGCATTTAGTGTTAATCCTGATACCAACAGGGTTTCTAATGTTGGAGACACAGCTTTCTCCACAGACAGGCCAGTTGTATGAATAATGATTTGAGGAGGGGGAAAAAGTGAATGAGTTTCTGGAACGTCCACTTGTGATCTTCCATCATGTAAATCTGCCCTGTAAGGCCAGTGCTAACAATCATTTGGCCTTAGACTTAAATAACTCACGATTTAAGATCATTGCTAATTTGCTTCCAATTGTTCCACATGTAAATTGGAAGTAAGAACTTTGAGTCAATGTTTTTCATTAAGAAGTTGAAGTAATCAGTCTAGCTTCATTTGAGACTACACTGTAGCTTGAGTAGTCTGGTCTGTTCATTTTTTTTCTATATAAAAGTCTCTAGTCCATATTTTTCAAAGACTAGTTAAATTTGAGTATAGCGCATGGTTAAACTTCTGATCTGCCAAACTGTTAAAACCACTAAGTCCTGTGAAAATTGTTCATGCAGCAGCACTTAAGATTTGGATTGGGAGCCTAGCTCCTGTGACATTCTGCAATGAATACGGTGTAATAATATTTCATACATTCTTGCATTTTGAAACAAATTTGCATGAAGAACCAAAAAGCATTGCCAACACTTTTCTATTTGAGTAGTCCATATTTTGTGCTTGGCATTCCTTTTTTCAAAGGTGTATTAGCTCAATCAGGTGAATAAGATGATGTGTTGGAGTTTTGCATACGTGTTCCTAATTTTTAGCACAAGTTTTGTTAAACAATAGATGTGCACACTTGGCAAGTTTTAACTGGCACAATGGAATAGCAAGTAAAAAAAACAATGTTAGGTGAACCATCGATTTATTTTATAGGATTTTAATCTGTTCCTGGACAATTCAATCACTTACAAATTTCCATCACTTTCATATCTTAAATTTTAAAATTTTACATTCTTTCCATACACTAAGAAAAGATCAATGGTAAAATGTGAGACTAGTGACTTTGAGTGGAAGGAAAGCCTTACAATTTTGACTATTCACTGTTGCTGTTTTTATAGGGGAGTGGGGATTATTATGGCATTCCTGGGGTGGGCGATCTCCAGATTTGGCTCCTGGACTGACTTACCTGCTTAACATCTTTGTTTGTGCAACTTGTTAAAATACCCAAGTTATTTCCCCCTTTTTGAGCAAAGTACTGTGAACAAAGCAGTCCTTGTATTTTCACTCCCCCTAATTTAAATGACCCATGCCTAACTTCTGCAGGAGCCCAGATAAATCTCAAGGCAAGCACCAGATGTTTGTGCTGCTCATGGAAAGAGCGCTCATTTTAGGCACTTGCTTTTGAACTCAGTTTGAGTAATTCTAACATTTTAAGAGTATAAAATCCACACTTACGCAGTCCTGAAAGTTGAGCCATGTGGTTTAACCTGCTAATCTTGAAGTTCTAGTTGCAACACTTCACATTTGAACCTACAGAACGTTCTATCGTTTGTACATTTCAATACACCAGTGTTTGGACCATCTTAATTTATTACTCTAAACATAATGTGCATAAGCCTGATACATGGCCAATTACTCAAACTTATGCCACTTTGAGCATGAAATTTAACTTCCCACCCAATTTATACTGCCTGAAATGATCAACACTATGTTCAATAATGCATAAGCTTGTGAAAACACTTGTATATTGATCATTACTGCCATGGGGATTGACAATTGAGCAGTAAAATGAGTGGTAATAAGTGTGGAGTTGGTATGATGTAATGCTTATTTGGCAATGTGGCTGTAATAATGAAAGTATGGTTTAATTATTTGCTGTAGAGATGTACTTTAGCCAACTGCCTTGAGTGCAAGGAAATAAATGGCTACAGATGGAAAATCAAATTGATGTCTTCAAAGAGTTTGCCAACTTTGTCTCTGGCATTTTCTAATGGCAAGACCAATACCTACTCTTAACATTTCATGTGGCTGTAACCTGCATACAGCTAACTAATTGCATGTCCCTGTTCAGTTCCCTGAAATTAATTTGCGTGCAAAGTTTAGCATTCTAACTGCTCTAGTGGCTTCTTGTTTTTAGCCTGCACTGCAGCTGGTGGTAAAGCCAAAAAGGCCAAGTGTTCAAGTGTCTCCCTGTTGGTGCATAGCCTTTCAATCAGTGCATGATGTGTGGGATCTCAATTGCTCAATCCCAGAACTGTAAGAGGAAATGAGGTTTGGTCCCTCAGACATGTGGCATGATACTGGCACATGGGCATTATCTGGCACTTTGCCAAAGTTTGAAAGCTAAAGGATAAAATCTGATGTCCAGAGGTGGACTGATCCCAAAAATGACATTGGTTGTAGGATTTGTCCAAATAAAACAATACTTGACATCCCTTGGGCTCAGTGAGAAGTTGAACAAACCCCCCCTGAGGTTTGGTCAGCTCAAGATCTCAAGCTTTTTTATTTTTTTTATTTATTTATTTTTGCCCATTGTTGAGGACACTGGAGATGACAGGAAATTTAATCTGATGCTCAACAAAACAATGGTAGTTTTCTCAGACCATTGTGTTCCACTGGTTGACCATTTTCCTGCCATGGTTGGGTGGGCCCAGGCTTGTATTTTGCTGACATGCTGTAGTGCATCTTACCAGGAGTTAAGATACCATGATGTAGTAACTTTGACAGCTACTGGACAGGAAACCAGGCTCTGTATAAACTGAAAGAAATATTAAACTCTTGGAGTTGTGCATGAGATGCCCTTTTTAGGAAAAAAACTGCTACGTTCCATTCTCTTGGACCTGTTCCCTCAAATGGCTTAAAATGCATTCTACCACTTCACACTTAATCCTAAATAGGGCCAGTTTTAACCTCTAGGATCTGTGCTCGCCTAGAGGCAATAGACCTGTGTCCCAAGGAGCTAAATGCTATGAGCTATCGGCATTTAGCTGTCAAAACATCTAGTTAGCAATTTCAAGCCTAAAAAAAGTTTTGCTTCTCCAGGGAGAGGACTGAACAGACAAACTAGTGCTACCATCAGCTTTGTCTGAGACCATAGATGTAGGAGCACAAGTGGGCAGTTTAGCTCATGTCTCCTTGGTCATTCAGTCAGATCATGGCTGCTCTGCTGACCCTTGAATCCACTTTTCCTGCTTCCCTCACCTGTCTTTCTGTGTGGGTATGACTGTCAGCCTTGCTGCATACCCACCTTGGTTTTTTTTTAAAAAAAAAAGCAAATTCCTCTGATCTGGTGGTCTCTGACATTCCTGCACATTAGAGGTAAGGTGGAATGTATTTGTAGATGTTTTCTACATATACAGTTGCTTCACAAATGCTGCAAGTGCAAAAATGTTGACTCTGGAACCTGTCAACTGAAAAGGAGCAAGAGTCAGCAGACTTGACATTAACTCCTTTCTCCCCCTGCAGATGCTGTAAGACCTGTTGAATTTAGTATTTTTGTTTCTGATATCTTTGATATAATGGAAAATGAGCAGACTGTTCTCTAATTGCAAGAGGAATCCAAGTAAGAAGATGCTGAATGCACTTTATTAAGTTCCTACAACTGTCAAGCCATTTGCCAATAGCTATTGGGGAATCTGCCTGTTGAGCAGTTGGGGGACAAAAGTATTTGCCCATGTTGCTGGTGTCAGACTGCAGATCCTGGCTATGTATATACGCCATGAATCCATTCTTCAGAACTAGAAACTCTACAATTGCCACTTGCAGCTGCCAAACTGAAAAGCAATTCCTATGAAGAAAGGAGGAGACCACTAGAGAGGGAGACTTCAATCCTTTCAGGGCATTCTATTATTCTATTGAGCTGCTGAAGAAAATTGGCTGTCTGCTGCTTCTTGCATGACAACATAGTCATACAGCATAGAAACAGACCATTTGGTCCAACTCCCTCCACACTGACAAAAGTTTCCCAAACTGAACTCTCCCTTCCTGCATTTAGCCCATATCTCTTTAAACATTTCCTATTTGCATACCTGTCCAAATGTCTTGAATGTTGTAACTGTACCTGTATCTAATCAATTCCTCTGGCAGTTCATTCAAAATATGCACCACCCTCTGGAAAAAGTTGCCCTTCAGATCCCTTTTAAATTGCTAGACCTCTCACTGTAAACTTATGCCCTCCAGTTTTGAATTCCTGTACCCTGTGAAAAAGACATTAGCTATTCTCCTTACATATGCCCCTCCATGATTTTATAAACTTGAAAGATCACTCTTCATCCTCCTACACTCCATGGTAGCATATTCCAGCCTCCCCTTTATAACTGAAAGACTCCAGTCCTAATAACATGCTAAATCTTCCCTGCATCCTGCCCCAACTTTAAATATAGCAGGGCAACCAGAATTGTCTGTAATATTCCAAAAGTGGTCTCACCAATGTCCTGCACAGCCTCAACATGACCTCCTAGCTCTAATGCTCAATCCTGTGACAGAAGTAGGCAGGCACACCAAATGCTACCTTTACAACCTGTCTACTTGCGAATCCAATTTCAAGGAACTGTGTGTACCTACATTCCTAGGTCTGTTTGACAATACTTCCAGGGTCTGACCATTAACTGTGTAAGACCTGCCCTGGTGTGTCTTAACAGATGCAGGACCTCATTTATCTAAATTAAACTCCATCTGCCACCCATTGGCCTAGCTGATCAAGGTACCATCGTACTCTTAAATAACCACCTTCACTGTCCACTACACCAATTTTAAACAATGGACCCAGCAATGGTCCCTGTGGTATGCCACTAGTCACAGGATTTCAGTCTGAAAAACAACCCTTTACCACCACCCTCTCTCCTACTGTCAGGCCAATTTTGTATCCTGTGGGCTAGCTTGCTGGATCCCATGTGATCTAATTTTAACTAGTCTATCATGCCATCTAGACAATTTCTCCAACTCTGCCTTCTTGGTTATGTCCTCTTAAAAACTCATTTAGGTTTGAGAGACAATTTTCCCACCCTCACAGCCATGCTGATTGATTTTTATTATCACGTATACCAAAATACACTGAAAAGCTTTGTGTACAAATAGTACAGATTGTAGTAAGCCAAGGATGTACAGATTAAAAAGATATAGACAGAGGCATACAAATTACATTGCACAAGGCGTGCGCTAGATGAGATCAATGTCCCTGGATGACTGTAGGATCTTCAAACTATCCCCAAAATGCTCTTCAAACCTGTAATTAGATTTAAAAGAGCATTTGGGGATAGTCAATCAGTCCTTGCCTCTCCAAATGCAAGTAAATCCTGTCTCTTGGAATCTCCAACAACTTACCCACCACTGACATCAGACTCGCTGGTCTGAAGTTCCCTAGCTTTTCCTTGCAGCATTTCTTAAGTAAGGGCATAACCTTAGCCACCCTCCAGTCTTATGACACTTCACTTGTGGCTCTCGATACGAATTCCTCTACTAGGTGTACCACAATTTGTTCCTTAGCTTTCCACAATATCCTGAGATACACTTGATCAGATCCTTGGGACTTATCAATCTTTTATGCATTTTAAGTCCTCAGCACCTCCTCTCTGTCATGTGAACAGTTTTCAAGATCTCACTATTTCCCCGAGTTCCCTAGCTTCCATGTCCTTCTCCACAGTAAATACTGACTAGAAATATTTGTTTAGGATCTCGCCCATCTCCTATGTCCCACAGAGACAGCGTTGTTGATCTTTAAGGGGCCCTATTCTTTCCTTAATTACTCTTTTGCCCTTATGTACTTGTAGAAACTCTTTGGATTCTCCCTAACCTTATCTGCCAAAGTGATCTCATATTCTCTTTTTGCCCTTCTGATTTCTGTCTTTAGGTATGCCCCTACTAGAGATTCATGTGTCTATACCTGACTTATTCCTCCTCACTTTTCTTGACAGAGCCCCAATATCTCTAGTCATCCAGTGTCCCCTACTCCTAATAGCCTTGTTCATTATGCTAACGAACATACTGTCTCTGAACTCTTGTTATCTCACTTTTCAAAGATCCCCCACTTACTAGTCATCCCTTGACCTGTGAGCAGCCTTCCACAATTATCTTTTGGAAGTTCCTGTCAGATACCATCAGAAGTGGCCTTGCTCCAATTTAGAACCTTTAACTTTTAGATCAGGTCTATCCTTTTCCAAACCTCTCAAAGCTAATAGAATTGTGATCACTGGTCCTAAAGTACTCCCCCCACTGACACCTCAGGTACCTGCTCTGCCTCATTTCCCAAGAGAAGATCAAGTTTTGCTCCTTCTCTAGTAGGTATATCCACATATTGATAAAGAATTAACAAATTCCTCCCCATCCAAGTCCTTAAGACAATGACAGTCTCTGTCTATGTTTGGAAAATTAAAATCCCTTACTATTACATCCCCATTATTCTTGCAGATATCTGAGATCTCCCTACGTATTACTTCCTCAATTTCTGTAATTGTTGGGGGACCTGTAGTACACCCCCTTCTTATTTCTCCGTTCCACATATATAGCTTCACTGGATGATTTCCCTAGGAATATCATCTAAGTACAGTAGTGATGTTTTCCCTCCTCAAAAACACCATTCTGTCTCCCTCCTCTTGCATCTCCTTCTATCCTTCCTATCACATCTATAACCCATAAAAATGAGCTGCCAGTCCTGTCCCTCCTTCAGCCATGTTTCAGCACTAGCTATGATATCCCAGTCCCATGTTCCCATCTGTGCCCTGAGTTCATCGGCCTTACCTATCAGAACTTTTGTTCTGAAATAAATGCAGTTTAATCCATCAGTCTTACCTCATTCTCTGCAGCACTCTTGTCTGCCTTATCTATTTAACTTGCTGTGTTTAACTTCTGAACCATCCTCAACCTTCTCTCTTTTCACTACTACTTAAGATCCCCTCACCACTCCATCCCAACCCCTGCCAGATAGTTTAAAGCCTCCTGAGAAGCTC